CCTCCCATCCCTGCCCAGCCCCCCGCCAGCCCCCCAGACCCTGCCCAGCCAGGTCCTGCCATCCTTGGGGTCCCTCTGCCACCCAGAGCCCCAGCGGCATTCCCCTGCTGCCTTCAGCCTCCTGCTTCTTCCCCTGTTTGTCTCCAGCATCCAGAGAGCAGGGGACAGCAGGGGAATGCTTCTGTGGCTGTCTCCAGCCCCCTGCTCATTTCCCTGATGTCTCCACCCTCCCGAGGAGAGTTTCTTTCCAAAGTGGAAAGGATAGAGAAGAGTACCACAAAGCATCATTTGAGGGTGGGACAAAAAGCCTTTTTAACTCCTGAAGAGATTAATTTGTTTAGTTAATCAAAAGAAAATCAATAGATAGCTTTATTACTGTGTACAAATAGGCTCACTGGGAGAGAATACTAGGTACCAAAGAGTTCTTGAACCTAATAGAGAAAGACATGTCAAGACCCAATAGCTGGAAGTTCAAGTAAAAAATGAAGTATACATTTTTAAAAGTGATGGCAATTAACAACTGCCTAAATAGTTCGTCTTCTGTCTTATGAAGTCTTTAAATCAAGACTGGATGTCTTTCTAGAAAATTTACTTTAGTCAAATACAAGTTATAGAATGAAATACAGAAAAATCTGGATGAAATTCTGTGGCCTAGGTTGTAGGATGTTACTCTCAATGATATACAAAAATATGTCTAATCCACTGTCTTTTATTGTAGTGCTGTCTGTTCTGAGAGTCTCCTTTAAAAGAAGTGAAATAGTATTCGTGATCAATACATACATGTTTTTTGGAGTTAGTAGCTGACCAGAACACCTTTTCTTAGGCAACAGGACTTTTGTTTCATTCTAGGTAGCTTGGTAACGAATAGCATTGATGATCTGGCAGCAGGGTCTTCATGGTAGGCTATATAAGCCTTATTTGTCCCCCAGGGTTCACTGGGACACAAGGATATTCACTGTCTGCTACCTGAACTAGCTAGATTAAAACTAATTTGGGCATGGTTGCGCATAGTACATTGACACCAGCAATTGCAATGTGGATACAACCTGCTTATCAGTGACAGGTACCGGGCAAAAAATACTGCTAATAACCAGGGATCTTGGTTATCTCTGATTTTTAAAAATCCCCAATTTTTGGATTTAAAAAAGTAATGCAAATTTTTTCTGTGATTAAAATCAAATACCACTATTATATAGATTTTTTTCCATGATTAAAATGAAACAATGAAGCTCCTGGGGTCAAGTAACCCTGAACTGCTGGCCAGGGCAGGTTTTTGTACTGCTGGGAACAGCACAGGTGCTGGCCCTGGCCACAGATCCGGGAGGAGCCAGGCAGGGTTATTTTGCCCCGAGTGGCACAATTTGCTCTACAACTTCACAATGTGTGACTGCCTCCCTTATAGCAAGTCTGGCCTTCCATCCATGGAGGACAGAGCCATCCATGCTCTGTCCTCAGTGATGGGAGCAATTTAATGCACCGCTTACTGTCTACAAAGACCTTACTAGCTAACATCCAATTACCTCAAAAGCTACCTTTCTCCCTTTGCCCAGTGATGACCCATGCATTAAATAGTATATTTAATGGGTGAAGAGTGAAGTCTGATGGGGCTTGAGACAGGATGTTGTCTGACATAGACGTTTTCCTTGTGAATTCACTTCTGCCAGAAAAATGTTTAAGCCTGATTTTGTCCACATTTGGAACATTATGTAAAATAGATTCCCTTTGTCCAAGGTTTCCACTAATAGCAGGCTCTGGAATCCCTGGCATCTAGCCTCTTGTTGTCCATCTTTATCCTCTAAAGTTCAGTTTGCTTTCTTCTGGATGTGAGACATTAAGTTGTTGTGTTTGGAGTTAATATAACCCACTGTATGCATAATTAATTTTTATCATAGAGTAAAATTAATTCCACCTACAAAAATCTTGACTATTCAGACTATATATAGAAGTGCAGGAAAGTGAAATCCTCTTACCAAACCTATGCCAGGATGAAGAGCTGTCACACAGCTCCCCTCATGCCACTTTTCCATCTGTTTTTCTCTGTCCATGGACTGGAATTTGACAACTAGAAACCTTGGTGCTGGTACCCTTGGGTACTAGTGTCTCTTGAGATTCTCAAGTTCGTATCTGTGGCCCTTCCTCTGGTCTGTTCCATAGCTCCAAAGTGAGTTTCCATGCCAGCAAAGCCATTTTGTTGGCATGGTGGAGACCCCCACAGGCCCTTTTCCGGATTCAGATTATGTGGAAGGTTGGCACAAGGCATTCCTCACTAGGGGTGAATTTCCCCCAACATATGTAATGTTGGTTGTTTATGTGATTTCTATGACTTATCTCTGGTTACTGATACTAAACAATGCATTTTTCATTGTGCACTTCACAGTGCAAGTCTGTTACTCGCACTCCATAGCCAAAATACTACAATCTTGTGGGTTGTTCTACCTTCAGGACATGTTAATAAACTACATTAGACAGTGGAGCAACATCTGGGATACATACCGTATTCAAATGTGGCATGAGTTCAGTGAATGGTGATGGCAGCTGCTTTCTAGTGGCAGATACTTTTCACATGTATCAAACACTGCAATGGTCTGTATTTGTTCTACACAGGAGTGACTCCTGCCTTCACAAGATAGCTCTTTTGATACCTTGTATACCTTGTCTTTGATTACCCTTTCCAGGTGAAGGAGTTGCAAATAATGTTTCACAAATGCCATTCTTCTGAATGAGAGACAAGGATTTTTTTGCAGTGATATCCTTTATTGGACAGCTGCAGATTTGGGATAATGTTAGAGAAACTGCAAAATGTTTGAAAGCTTGTCTAACTTTATCCCAACTGTACAGTTGCTCGAATAAAAGATGAATGTATTTTTATTGCTTTTCATATAATTCCTGGATCACCACAGCTACAGCATCACTCTAATACTATCATATCCTTCTTGACTTACATTATCCTTGTGAATGACTGTGGCTAAAAACTTGTGCTAATTCTTTTGTTAATATAAGGAGGATATCTCACTTCAATCCTGAATGCTATGGCTTTTTACACTTTGCTTTGGGCTGAGTTACAGGAAGCCATAATGCAGGCCAGATTTAGGTAAATTATGACCTTTCTTTATGCAACTTTTGCAGTCAGGAAAGCTGTAGCCAGCCACTACTCTTGAATTGCTATATTTCTCTCAAGGTGTTATTTTACCCAACTAGCCTCATTGCATATTTTCACTACATGTCTACACCCTATGTGCCCGGAATTTTTTATGCTACAACAGTTGACACAGCCCTATTGTACAAATGGGTTTATAGGAAATGTAGCTTCCTTATGCATTTCCTTTGACATTTTTTATGTAAGAATTTATACTTGCTTTTGATCACAGGATTGTTTGCTCTTTGCCTTGTATTTTTTACATTTGCATACTTGGTTGTGAGAATTTACTGTTGGTTTGTGCGCTGTGTACCATTTAATGTGTTAACATTAAATCAAACAACTTTTATAAGCTAAAAATAACTGTATCTTCTTCATGATTCACTCAGTTTCCACTCACTTGCTTAGGATTTCAGATCCACTGCTAACTTCAGTTTTACTCAAACCTTATGTGGTAGAAATCTTCATAGCTACAAAGTTATTCATATCTACTTATTTAAGTAATGTTCTTTGCATATGTGTTCGAAAATAGAAACTTGTATTATACAAAAGAGAAAATGTGCTTGGAATTTCATACTTCTTGGGGAATGATTATTTAAAGGGAAAGTTCTTTTGCATTCTGGGTCTGATCATTAGCTTTTCTCACAGGTACTTCTGTTTAGTTACCCATGGTATTTATTCATTTCTTTTTAGATCACATTGACAACAATTGGTTATGGAGACAAAACTCCTCTTACTTGGCTTGGAAGGCTGCTTTCTGCAGGGTTTGCTCTACTAGGCATTTCTTTCTTTGCACTACCTGCTGTGAGTATCTTTACAAAAAAAGGCTGTAGAAACTTCAGCAGCTCCTAAGGCTGCCGTAATATAAGCTGCAGGAAGTTTCCGTCATAAAGGGTCATCATTTGACTATATAAAGCTCACTAAGTAATGTTAACACTTTTCTGGAGTGCCTTGTCTTTGAGTAAGGAAATCTGATCATCCAGTTGGATCATCTATATAAAACCCCTTTTCCTGTGATGTTAGCAGCCTGGAACAGTGTTATTATGACTTCAGTGTTTCTAAAACTGTACTGTTACTCACTTGTAAGCTAGTACTTCAGATATGGCCATCTATAATGTAACCACAGAGTTTAAACAGTACATTGTTCAGTGAAAAACAGAGTCGTGCTGTCAGTTTTAAAGCAGACTTCCCCACTGGTTTAAATGATTCTTTGTCAAAGTTAATAGTATGATATGGCACAAGTGGAATTCACTGAAATGCTTTGTTGTGGATTTTTTTGTTTGAGGTTTTTTGGCAAGATCAAATATGGAAAATATTCCAGGATTAGTTACTGCTGCATTGTGAAAGGCTGAAATTCCTTTCCTCTGCTGTGAATTGTGACTCACATACAAGCACCATGTTTCTTCCAGGGTGTTGAAATTATTGAGTTGATCTATTTTTTCAAATTAATTGCTATTGGAAGAGGTGGGACTTTAATAGTGGGTACCATAGCAGTGTTGAATATGTCAATTGACTGTGACAGAATGCATTAAATCAGGCAAAAGTTCATTCACTCAAATGCAACACTACAACTTTTGCTTTCTATTATTGCCTGATAAGAAATAAGAGCATATAGCGATTTACAAATATTAAACAGGATTTTAGGGAAATTATGTATCAGCAATACTGTAGAATCCAAGATTGGCAGAACCACAGTTATTTCCTATTTAAGGAGCAGAGGAATAATGCAGTATCTCAAGCACTATATTATAATATCTATTGACATTTTAACAGCAACTGTTGAATTTGAACCTATATCTTACACAATTAGCCATTACAGAAAATGTAGTCCTAGCAATGAGTAAGATGATAGACTTTCCTAATGGTATGTGAAAAATAATTAACTTGGAAATATTTTAAATCTCAGAAATGTTATTCCTTATGTTAGATCCTTGTGTCCATTTTTTTTCTTGAGCAGCTTTTGTGCTGAGTTTTGTGCTGCTGCAAAATATGTTAAAATATGTGGGCCTTTCCTGGATTTTCATTTTTTTTCCTTCAGCATAAGAGCCAAGGGGAATCATTTGGCCTTATCATGCAAAAGTATTCACCAGAATAAACATTTTGCTAGAGCTGAGGGAGCAACCTTCTGGCCTGTTCAGCTGAAGTCTGAATATTCTTAGCCTATTCTACAGGGCCCTTCTGTTAAAAGCCAGAAGAGGTGAAGATTTCATTATAAACTCTTTTCAGGCCATGTGGAAGAAATGTTACAGATTAATTTAAAATGAAAGCACTTGTTTTATACTGGATAATTATACCACGTTTTTTAATTTTATAAATTTAGATCAGCACAACAACTACAGGTTTGGAAGCTTGGGCCAGTAGTCATATCATCATTTCTGGTTAAGTTTGTCTGAGTGCTCATTTGAATTATACACCTGATTACTTGGTTACCTACATAGATAACGGGTTTAAAATCTCAGTGGGATATTGTAGCCCAAACCAAATAATGGTTTAGATGGGCAGTTCATAACACTGCAGATAACATCTCTTAAGCAGGAACGCTCCTGGCTTCCATCAAATGGGCATTTCCTATCTTTAGGTTAACCTTCTAATGTCATTGTAAACATGTTGTTTGAAACTAATCACACAAAACAATGCCCACTTACAAATGCTGGAGCTTTGTACCAATCTCACACAAACTTTGAAGCTGACATGCTAAAACTATTTTTTAATTACCTGTTTAATGATAAAAGCTGTTGTATTATACTCTAGGGCATTCTTGGCTCAGGGTTTGCATTAAAAGTACAGGAACAGCATCGTCAAAAGCATTTTGAGAAAAGAAGGAATCCAGCTGCCAGTTTAATTCAGGTAAATATCAAAATTGTGAGAAATAACTGTACCTGACTTTCAGAGTGTTTATTGGGTAATGCTATGAATGATATTATGAAACGCCTGCAGAAATACTGTTTACAGGTTGAATAGTGTCCTCAGGCACACTGTGTTCAGTAAATGCCATGCATTTGTGTAATTTTATAATCTGTATTTCATGCAGATTGCACACCTTGTATAACTAAGTTTGTAGTAAAATTATTTGGAAGAGAAAATAGATCACTAAATAACAGCAATGAGAGAAAGCATCTAGCTCTTGCCCACGTTCAATTATTTTTCACTACTAAGAGGCTAATAGCGCCCCAATGTACATTTTCTTAGACTGACATTGTCTGTCCAGAGAACTACAATCAATATTACCTCATTCAAACACTAAAAATGTGGACACTAATTGCTCAAGGTCTGAAATGATGAGCACCCTTTCAGCTACAGTATCAACAAGATAGTGCAGATCAATGCTGCAGAAGATATAAAAAGCTCATGAATAGATTTAGCATAGTATTTACTGCCTAAAACCTCAATTTTGTAGAATTTTCTTAACTTGCAATCATAGGTGATTTTTCCTTGTTGAAGGATATCTTGTCCAGCTTTTAGTGTATGAAAAAGGTATTTAATCAGTTTCCCATCTATTTATTGTATTGGATTCCTTAGACTGAAATGCACCTGAAGTGAAGTGGAAACAGAGAAGCAGTTATATGCTGTTGTTCCACAGTGAACTCAAGGTAGATGACAGAGATGACTCTGAAATATTCAAGTAGTTAAGAAAATTGTTAGTATATTTTTAGTTTACATTATTAACATTTTGTAATTCCTCTTATACCTACCATAGGACAAGTTAAACTATACAAGAGTGTTTCTGATGTCTGATTTTCATTCTTTGATAAGATTACAAGTTGGGTTGGTATAGGTAATTGTGTAGGCATAATATATTGACTTTGTATGAAGTTTGACACAGTACTGCATGGCATTCTGATTAAAATATTAATATTATACAGGCTAAGTGGCTTCAGACTAGTTAACTCATCTTAGAATATATTGCTAATGGGAATTCATTACTGAATGCAGGTATTTCTACTACTGTTCTACAGTAGGCCTGATGTCGTTCAACTTTTCCATTATTGATCTAGAAATAGATGTAAAATTAGCATAAAATAGGTGTTAAATAGTTGATAAAATTTGAAGATGATGCAAAGATTGGTGAGACGGTAAATAATGAGGAGGACACAGAAGTCCTATAGAGTGGCCTGTGTCACTTGTCATACTGGAAGCATTGAAACAAAATGACTTTCAATATAGCCAAATGCAAAGTTATACACTGAGGAACAATCCCAGACAATGTCTACAGAAGAGAGGTACTGCACCCTGGAAATTAGTAATTTTAAAAAGGATTGGGGGAGTTCATAGTGAACAAGCCACCCAATTAAAATCCTAGAATCATTTTAATGGAAACAAAGGCTAATTCTGTCCTTGGATGCATGACCAAGAGAGTAGTTAATGGGAGAGAGTGGCTTTGCTAAGGCTGATGTTGGAATACTGCATATTTTTCTAGTGTTCATATGTTAAAACAGTGTGTTGAAGAACTGAAGAAAGTACAGGAGTAGAGAAGTCCTTCAAGCTAGAGATGCGGGATAAATGTATACTGCAGACAGCAGTGTAGAATAAGAAACTGCAATTAGTACTCAGAGTAGTCTTGCCATGGCAAAAAAGAGCTCCGCACAGGTAAATTAGTTCACGCAGTCTATACTGTAGAGTTATGTTGGTTTAGCTTATTGAAAAAATTAGATGTGTAAATGAGTACAGTGTCTAAGTAAAAGGCAGGGCAGAGTAGAACCTTGAAGACTAACTTGTTCAGATAGTCATCACCTTTCATAGGTAGCTTTGCAAGGAAAAGACAGTGAAAAGTAAAGGGCTGTAATCTGGCAGAGAAGGCCATAGCAAGGATAAGTGGCTAGAAAGTGAAACCAGGGAAATTCAAATGAAAAATTAGGCAGATTTGAAAAAAAAAAAATTATGTTAATTTACCACTGGCACAAACTGTAAAGGGAAGCGGTAATTCTTTTTATTCTCTGAGTCTTTATATCAAGCCTGCTTGCTTATCTAATTTGCCAGACATGACTTACTGGGCTCAGCTGAGGGTTAGGAAAGTGACATTTATAGAGGTGCTCTGGGCAGTGGGGGGAAGAGGTGGAATGCTTTAATTAGCAAGCTGCACTAATTAAAAGCACCTGAGTGTCACATGTATCAGCATCCCCGCACTGAAAAAATGGTGGTGGGGCACTTTGAACTAAAGCTCATTCGACAAGCTTTAGTTTGAAGTGCCCTGCTGCCATTTTTCAGCACAGAGACGCTGGTACACAATCCTGGGGGCTGCTGGAGCATGTTAATTTCTGCACTCCAGCAGACTCAATTAATCGAGTCTCCTCCAATATGCTGGACTTACACCATGTCGGAGCAGTCTCCCTGCATGTGTGAGTGACCTAAATAGCCTGCAGTACACAGGATTCCATACTTGAGGATCTAACTGTCCTTTCTAACCTGAAACACTTATAGCAGGCAAGATTCAGAATCTGGTTCAGAGTCTGTAAGCTGTCACCTTGCTCTGCCTTCTGCCTCACTTCATACTAACATGGCTAACTATCTGTCTCTAGCCTTAAACCAGTGATTCTCAACCTACGTGGCATGCGAGTCTTTTAAGACTGTCATGCGATCTTTGAGGGGGGTTCGTTGTAGCCATGTTGATCTAAGGACATAGGCAAACAAGGTTCTTCAGGTAAATCTGGTATCTTTTAATAGACCAACTAAATAGTTGGGAAAATTTTCTTTGCAAACTTTTCGGTACCCTTCAGGCAGAGGGAGAGTCATGCAATCTTAGCATTTGGTTCACAAGAGAAATCCAAGAGGAGAACCCATAGTGTCAAAAAAAGTCTGACCTGTTGTGGTCTGAGTCTTTTGCAACTTAAGAATTTCTTCACCAATTGTCCATAGTCAAAAACCCAGTGAAAGCTAGAAGCTGCCATTTTTAAGAGAAGCCTTGAATTTAATAAGGGATATCTTGCATCTGAACAGGTTGAGAACCACTGCCTTAAGCTTTGTGACTCTATGAATAGGTTGGTGGTAAAGATGCTAAAAAGATATTTTTTAAATATTTTTATTTTTTCAGACATTGATCAGCAGTCATAAAATGCACCTGTTTGCAGCTGAATAGCTATAACATCTATTTTAAGTTTAGAATCCCTAATTTTAAAAACATGATGGCAATGAAATTAGTATAGAACAATGCCATATTCAGATTCTCCACTCTCGTGCCCTTGAAGTAGCAATTTTCACATGTTAAAGTGGGTGCAAAATGCTACCAAATGAGAATAGTAGCATTTTATACCTCCTTTGCATTTTCTTCACACAACTATAAATCATTATATAAAGTTCAGGGAAGAGGAGAATCAGAATCAAGATTTCTATTCTTTTACTCCAGTTGGTGCTAATAATATTTAAGCAGAAGGCACTGAAAGAAGTCAGTGTAGTTATGTGGCTTTATACTTGCAGAGGACTTGGCTCATGAAAGTACAATAAAGCATGACTATAAGTATTAGAAACAAGGGAAAGAAATCTGGGAAACTTTTTAACATTACAGGTGAGCTCCTTTGCTTGTGTTAGTTGGTATAGCTAAAGCAGTTCCAGATCAGCTATACCACTTTAGTCTAACTGAGGTCCTGGCTCACCGTTGTCTCACCATTTTTATCAGTTATAGATCTGAGAGTTATAAATCTAACTCTTTGTTTCAGAGTTTTAAATGTTCAATAATGTTCCATTACTGGAGAATATTTTACCTGGATTCTAAATCCTTTTGTTTGTTTTCATTATCATTTACACAATATAACATCTTCTTTATCTCATTATGCAGCTGTATGTGGGTGTCCCCCTAGGACTTTCACAAATAAATCAATACATTGCCTGCTCTGCATCTTCTGACTGTTTTGTGATATTTCCCCCAAAACTTCTTATGCATATTTTACTATGTTTTGATAAAGAATGTAGGTTTCACTAGATTTTGACTGGTAGCAATATGTGGTAGCCATATGTGGTAGCCAGCCACAGGTAATGCTCCTGGTTTGAACAAAAGTCCAGACTTTCCAACATGATTGTGGTGGCACGTTCATTTCATATTGTTGGTTCCTTTGTGCTTTTCTATTGTTTCCTCATACCAGGCTGCTTGGCGGTTTTATTCTACTGATGCCAGCCGAACAAACCTGACAGCCACCTGGCGATATTATGAAAGTATTCTTCCACCCCTCAGGCATGTATCAGTGCTATGAATGATAAAAAGTAGCCATGACTTGTATTGGTTTACTAATCTGCTTTTCAATTTTTGTTTCATCCCCTGCTCCCTCTTGCCTTGTTTTTCTTTTTTATCATATATCCTGCACGTAGTGTGTATGGCGTAGTTATGCGGCTGATGAGAAATCGGTTTCCATTGCTACCTGGAAGCCTCATTTGAAGGCCTTGCATACCTGCAGCCCTACAAAGTAGGTACAATTATGGCAGCTGGTGCTGTACTTGATGTCTGTTCAAGCTTTTAGAAAATTAGTATTTCTGTTTGGTTTGTCTTGTTCTGTCTCTCTCAAAATCCTTTTCTTCAGAGTCTCAGCTAACAAATCGTAACAGTATAAATCAGGCTCTCTATAAAGTGTGACAAATATAATCAATTTCCATTAGTCTATGAGATATTACCAAACTAAAACATTAGAAGCACTTTCTTCTAAAACATCATATATCAAGGTTAATACATATTTATAGGTATCCATTCTCTACACCAGCTAAGTTTTAGTCATAATCAATGCATATTAGTAAACACAGACTCAATTTCCAAGTCATTCTAATTCCTCTTATTTACTGTAGGTAAATCTATGTTATTTTTTATAACAGAGTTATGGCAGTTCAGATATGTTGGCTTCCTTAGAAAGTCCTTTCAGCACAGTTCACACCAAAGGCACTTATTAACTAAGCAGAAAACTGCTGCTTTCCACCTCAAAAATAGGAGTTCCGGGCCAGATCCTTATCTAAATGGGTATTATTATCCAGCTAAAGTCAGTGGAGCTCTACCAACTTATACCAGCTGAGGATTTGGGTCACAGAATTTTTGGGAATCCCAGAGCATCTGAAAGTTCAAGTAGTTATTTATCCCACTGTGAAAATTGTGTCTTTGTATAGCTACAGTAAATTATCTGAATTTATTTGTGAGGAGAGGTTTGAGTGTCACTTTGTTATCCTTATTATCAATCAAAATGAGCATAGCAAATATGTATTTAATGCAGAGACTCTTCTTTGTTTTTCTCAGTAGGATGGTTCTAGGTTGCCATCATGACTTTCCATATGAGACTTCCATATGTTGCAGAGAACTTCATGATATTCTACTTCTGTAGACCTATAGGGAAAAAGATCATAATCATAATTTTAGGTATAGTGCAGAGTTTTCTTTGGTAAAATGTATATCCTTAGATATACAGAGACATAATCAATGGAGGACAACCTTGTACTCTAATTTCAGAATTTGGCCAGTTTAGAATAGGCTGATGTCACAACAAAGGTGAGAATTTGCAGTGTTTAACTGGAAAAGCACCAGCTATGATTTTTCAGTTGTTCTTAAAAATTTAACAGAAGGCAGTAGGCCAATGGTCTTCAATGTGGGGCAAGAATCTAGCAATGAAGGATATTAAGTACAGTTTGGAAAAGGCTATGATAGCAGTCTTGCATAAAAACTGTGAGGGTGGTATTTTTGTTATGGCCAGTGCACATGTGCTCAAAGGAAATCATCTGCCAGATATATTAGCCAAAAAAAATTAGCTGGCTCCAGAAAGCTGCTCTGCAGATTTCAGAGTTGACAAGAACAAAGCCATAAGTGATCCATTACCACAAGTATTCATCCTAAATGCTTCAGACTCAAAGTAGCTTTTAGATAAAAAGGCATCACACAGTCCAGAAATATTGATTTTAATAAATGTGAAATATTGTTTAAGACAAATATTCAGATATAGAGCAACATTTACATAAAGGAATGAATATGAAGCTCTATAAATAATGAAGCTATAACCCATCAAAAGGAGTTGAAATTAAAGATGTGGCCCAGAAAAAACAATGCATCCAAGCATTATTTTAAATATATCTATTGCTGCGATATCCCAATCCTAATTAAATCAAACCTGTTTCATTACCGCAGATGACTTTGTCTAATAAAAGTCTACAACTTTCTGTTATATATGTCAGCAATGCATTTTGCCTAAGTAAGTGCTTTGCCAGTTCAGTCTGCAGTGGTATGTACTACGCATGTTGTGCATGTGTTAAAATGACTGAGATGTTTTCAGAAGTCCTGTAGAGATGAGTTTGCTTGAATGTTTTTGTGCTTGCATTGTAAAGTGTGTATTACATATTAATTTAATTAACACATCCATTTACAGTTTAGCATTTATCTAACACTATCTGTGTTCTACATACATACCATACACATACATATACATACTATATATATATAATATGATTACTATCTGCATAACAAATATCTTTTTTTCCCTCCTATCTCTTGACACCTGAAGGAAAGAACAAGGAGAAGCTTCAAGCAGGTTTGTAGTTTTTTTATCTGCTTTATATCATAAAATATCAGACAATATTTGATGTCTTTAGGTACAGTAGATTCAAAGTAGGCTAAAATTGTTGAAAAATAATTTATGGTATGTGAACTTTATTAAATATTGTCAGAAATCAAACTTTTATTTGGCCTGTACTGGCAAGGTAACAGAGTGGAAACATGCATCTTCTCAGTTGTAGGGGATTACTAATTGTTTTAACCAAAAGATGCATTTATGCTAAATGTTAGTTCCCAGTAATGAGTTAGGCCTTCTTCACAGAGTTCTTGCAAAGTTTAGAGTCCATTCATGACCACAGGAACAAGTTCCTGCAAGGTAAGCTAGGGTATGAATGGTAGCAGCCAGAGATAAGAGCATCTACATGGACAGTTACTGCAGTCACTGACACTGTAAGTTCACCCCTAAGCTTACTCATGGCTTACTCATGTTACTCTGTCCATCCCCCAAACCAGTAGTTCTCAACTAGGGTACCATCAGACCCTTTCAAGAGTGCTGTGGCACAGGTGCCTCTGCCACTGCCACCAGGTGGACCTGCCCCATGTGCCTCGAGCAGCCAAATTACAAAACAGCTGCGGCAAGAGCAGGCGTTCCTCCCTTCATTAAGTTTATCTGATAAACCTAATCAATAGTTGAAGGTTTGGTAAGTCTGATGCAGGCAAAAGCACCTACTCTTGCTTTAGCCCTTTCCATTTCAGCCCCACGTGCTCCTCCTGGAAACAGGGCCATGCAAGGCTGTCCTACCAGGTGGTGGCAGCAGTCAGTCCAGCAGCCTCCAGAAACAGGCTAAACCTAATGTAGGCAGCCTAATGCAAAGAGGAGCACCACTCCTGCCTCCAATGCTTCCTGATCTGTCTCCACACAAGGCAGGTAATGCAGTTCCACCTGGCTCCAGTGCCCCAGTTGAGAACCACTGAGGTAAACTGAAGCAGTACAATAGCAGTTCTCAACTGGGATGATGCTAAATTCAGATAAGTTATGGAGGAGCACCCGGCAGTTAAAAGGATTAAGAACCACTGCCCCAATTTGCTGTGATGTTACATTGCACAAAACTGTAAAATGTGATAAAAATCTGTTCAATTGCTGTTCATACTTCCCTCTCCTTTCACAACCGTATTCAAAAACTGGTTTCAAGTTTTTCAAAGAAAAAAGGGCAGTGATTCTTATATCTTCATACTGTCGTCTCAAAATGTATGGTTTGTACAAGAAAAGGGCAGTTATTTGCACCTCAATATCTGAGCATTTACACACAATAATATTTGCCGTTAGTAGAAGCTACAAAAATAAGTCATTGACTATCAAGATTTCATGAAATAATCCATGATAAGCAATAACGCTTCATGTTTTCAAAGTATAAATTTAACTACATACCTGTCATTAATTTTCACAGAATTGTTGTCATTATTAATGGAAGATGCTTGGCCAAATCCCCTTTAAAAATGTCAGTCAATATTTACTGTTACTTCTTTGTATGGTAAGGGGTATGCAGTTTTTGCAGTAGTATTAAAATCTTTTCAACAATTCTTTTCATCTAGCACATTAAATATCAGTGTTTCTGGGTCAAGATGACTAACATATACTTTATTAAAAAATACAACTGAACAGTTTTAAAGATTATTGATCATGTTTAATTTTTAACTGAAATCTTGGGCTTTCATATAAATCTGAAGACCACTCAGTGCCTTTTTATTATGAAATACTGTATTTTTGTCAGTGGTTGCTTATAGCCCTTCTGATGTCATATTGCTGTATGTTTACATCAGTTAAAATTGTTTGTAGTGTATGTGGTCTTATGCATTAAATATGCAATGCACTTTCTAGAGTTAATTATCTTCTAGTCCTAAACTTTTCTTCTTATTGCAATGCTGAGTAACTTGCATGTGATGCTATGTGAACTAAGTAAGCTGCTTCTTTCTTCATTCTTTAAAACACAATGCATTTGTCTTAGCAGTGCATCAGATTGCTTTGTGAACATGCACTTGTTCTTTACTCTGGTTTTTTAAAGCAGATGAGAAAATGTTTATTAGTTTAGCTGAAACTTAATTTAATTTTTCTGTTTTTCCCAATAAAAAAAGAATTTTGGATTTACTGTAGAAATTTTTTCATTCATTTTCTTCTGTTCAGACCCAAAGCCTTTCAAATGTCATGGTGTATTTGGATAATGCCACTGAGATTTTGGTCTGTATTTTAATATTAATTTTAATATAGAAGCACAACAGGTTATATTTTAATTCAAAATATTGTATGTAAGTGCTGTTTTGTTTAATCATTTATAACTTTAATGGTAGGGCATTTTGTTGTATTATCAATGCTGTAACATAGATTAATCTGTAACTTAGTCTTTTAGATAATTTAAAATCTGAATTTCCATATACTGTACAATTTCTGTACAGTACTGTACAGTTATGCCTCAAGGGTTAAATTCATTGTCTAGTGTAGGATCAGTACAAGGTGGTGCATAACATAAGTAAGCTTCACTTGTATCCTATATGGAAAGCTTATGGAAGCTTAGATGTGCATAGGTCTTGTGCTGGCTTTCTACAGTGGAGTGAATTGAACCTGGTTACAGTAAGTTTTTATTAAAAGTAGTAAATAGTGGGACTCATACTGCATTTCTTATTCTGGCAAAACTCTTCATTGCAGTCTATGGAAGTTTTGCTTCCACAGGTGGTCAGGGAGAGAAAAAGAATTATAATCCACTGTTCCACATCACTCTTTCCAATATATTGTATACAAATATTGTATAGTAGTTGTTCCTCAGAGAAGATTAAATTTAACTATTTCCGTATTTATTTATTTGTTTGTTTGTTTGTTTGTTTTTTGCATGTGCCATTGTGAAAAAAAAAGAATTGCCAGTGATCTGGAACTTAACTTGGCTTGTATGGAAAACGTAACCCCTTTCCAAGTAGTAGAATAATTAGTAATATGATCCTCTATTTCCCCTCACTCCTAGTAAGCTTTGTAGTAATAAACAGAAGCTCTTCAGGATGTACACCTCTCGGAAACATAGGTATCCAGCATCCTGTCTATTCACATGATATTTGAGAATGCCAACTAACATCAGGTGCATGATCTATTTACTTCCCCTTCGTAGTGCTTCACAGTTTTTATACTTCTCCTAGGAACCTTTCTTGATTTTTTTTTTTTAAAGTGCTTGTACTTCTCCTTGTTGCTTGTTGCCTGCAATGATATATTAGTACAATGGGAATAAGGTGTTGTGCACTATAGTTTTCTATAACACCCCCCTCCAAATCCATGCAATTGAATAACTGCACTGTGCAGCACGCGTTGGCTGGCTGAAGCCTATTTGCCCCTTTCTGCCTGAGACTTAAACTTTTGGAATGCTTGATCCTATAAAGAGCTGAAGTAATTTTTGATTATTTGAGTAGCTGCATTTCTCTAAGTTCAAGAGGATTATTGCAACAGTAGTAGTCGTGTTCTAATGTCAAATAGTTGTTAATTAGTGGGGAATACTATCAAATGTTAGGCCACTTCAGTAACTCAGACTTATGAATCCCCTTGGACACAGCTTGTGGAGCCTGCCTGAATCAGTCCATTAGACCCTAATACAGAGGACTGCATGCTAGAACAATGGCCTTCTTCAGCTGGACTCCATTGACCTTTTTGTCTCTTACCAAAAATGGTAATTCTGCCTTTGGATCCCTGGGGAACAACCCCCGTGTTATGCCAAAAACTTGCTCCAACTCTTGCAAGTATATTTTAATCACTTCAAAAGTCTCTAAAACTGTGCTGAAAATATAAAGTGAGCAGAAAATAGGTTCTACCAGTCTAGAAACTATTTTGATATAATACACTATTTCTTAAACTGTACACAAAAAGGTTAATCTCAATTTTTTTCCCTGCAAGTCTACATTGACGTGTAAAACAAAATCACATCCCTGTGAGTCTTGCTTAAACTCATTAAAAGCATGAGGTATGACATCCTTATTCTTGGGTTCATGCTCCTAGCATTAGACTGGTGGAGAAGCCTTAAAGTTCTAACTTCTAGGGCTAGATTGTCAGTTGCATTTGTGCAATTTATCTTGATTTCAGTAGAAGTTGTGGATACCCTTCTGTTTGTGTACACCAGTCCTAAAGTAATTTGGTCCAGCAGGAAATGCTACTTGCTACCTTAGCAAATGAAGCTACAGTGACCTCTAGTGTCTCTAACCATTAGTTTGTTCATAAGCAAATGACAGAAATAGACACTTTAGAAAGAGGAAAACAAAACCCTTTACTATCAGGGGAAGTGAATGGTTCATGCATATGTGGACAAGAGAAGTGAGTGATGATACTTTACACAACTGATGCCTTCAGAGGACAAAAAGCAGAGAGGGGTCATTTTCTTTTTTCCTAAAGATTCCAGATGTAACCTATCCCCACTCATATAAAGATTTAAAAGCTCTAGCACTATCTCTGTGAAAAAACACCGGACACTGCAACAGGCCAGAAAATGTCACAGTAGGTCCAAAGAGATTGCCACTAGCAAAGACAATGAGGAAAAAAATATGTAAATGAGAGGACTAAAATATTAAGCTTATAAGATTAAAAAGAAAAACAAAAACAAAAACATCTCCTAAAGAGAATGATATATACAGATGGAGGGGGGAGGTCAATATGACTCATTCATATTCTCGTTGCATGCCTCTGATTAAGGAAAATGTGCATTTAGAAGTTTACTTGAGCTTCTCTGAATTAGTGTCTTAAGGCTTTTACCTTTTTAACAACATTTATATTGGATTTTCAAGAACCCTTGAAGGGAGGTTACAGAGCCTAGAACCTGACATCTCACAGTACCATGCAGATCATAATCTATCCTGTCCAGTTTTATGATGTCATGTTATAATATACATCAATGGGGTAGCTTCATTAAAGGCACTTCAGTCATGATATATTACAAAGAGATGGGAGAAAAGA